AGAATAATTTGCATATTACGTAGAGATCTTCCTTGACTAGCATTACAAAAAGTAGATTTTTCAACTATCTCTGTTGTTCTTTGTTCCCATAGTTGAGGATGGTTGAGTTTGTGAAACAGTATCAAAGCATACAGTTACGTATTCAAAACGTTATTTTTATGCTGAGCATTAAAATGGAATAAAAAGGAAGTGATACTGAAAAATACAATGTCTTTGAATTTCTCAAGGAAGGTATCCACATAATACTCGTTTTATTCTTTAGTCAGTAAATGCAAGATAATAAGTATATCATGTAAGAGGATAGAGAATTTCGATCTCTATCAGAATATAATAAGGATGAAAATTTTAAATTACTAATTTTGTCGACAGTGACAAAATCAAATCTGTGGAAATCTGCAAGTGAGAATACCCTTGTTGCACTCAATTAATTCTAATGATGTATAAATACAAACTACACACTAATATACGGGGTGATACAAAATTTCGGATGTTTTCAAGATGTAATTAGTTCCAAAAAAAAAATATTTTTTTACAATAACCATATATTCGAAATGCGGACTGCCACTATTTTTTTTCAGGAGTATATAAGCAGTTCAAGCAAAAATTATGCACGAATATCATCTTACGCATGACTGCAAAGAGATTTTCTTGACTAACAGTATTCGGACAGTTAATAAATCGAAGCCAATTCGCATTGTGGGGATAGAATCCATCGATGTAACATATCGTGCCATCCGAGGGACTTGTAATCTATGCATAGATAAAAAGATAGATGTCAAGCTGCTACCCTTCTTACTGTCCAAGCATAGCCGCTTTCTTCTGCAAGAAGACTATTGTTGTGCTTGTAGCCAACGTAAGGACTAAAATAAGTATCTTTTGGAATTCGACGAGCGGCAAATGCTCCCAGTCCCTTACGAAAATAAAGTATTGAATTTTTCTTGTGCAATACAATTCATTATATATTACTTACGGCGTTTGGAAGAGTGCTTTCAGCAATGAAGATAGTGTCAAGTGGAACAGTTGCGATGGCATAATCAGTGGGATCGACGAGAGAGGGATAAATTACCTAAATATTCTTTGTAGTAATTATGTATCAATTTCATTTTGAATCGACAATGACACAAAACTAATTTTGAAACACTTAGAATCAAAGAACATAAAATGTTACTTAGTAGATTTTTCGTGCGCTTTAGACTCAAGTTATACAAAGTATAGTATTCGTAAGAATATTTCAGCTGGATCAGACGTAATCTGTCGAAAAAATAGAAATGAAAGGTGAAACTATTTTGAACCTTTAGATTGGCGATAAATACTAATGTCTCTCCTCTTCTTCTTAGTGATAATCAGTTAAGCCACATTAATATTTCGTTGTTCAGTTTGCCATACTAGTGATGTTAATATGTAAAGAAGAAAATATCGTGCAAAGTTGACTCAAACGCTACTACCGAAGATTTATTTACTTTAAAATGCTGAAAGTTTCCTGCAAAACCATTTTGAGATAGCTCTGTAAATGCTTCTTCTTAAGGTTGATCTAATGAACTAGAAAAATGTCGTTGTCTAAACTCTATTACTGAATACATTTTCCTCCTACGAGCAAAAATAGCACTTTATGCCCAAATATCAATGCTTTCATTGATAGTGTCTATTATCAATTCACATGGCTGTCGAAAATAACTTATTTTTGTTTATACACATTAATCGTTCGACAACATGAATATCTGTGAACATTCCTTCGTGAGAGTTTTTTACAATTATCTCAATTTTGATATCGTACTATGCGCAATAGGAGTATCTACGTTCGTGTTTGAACTTTCCGTTCTAAGATAGGAGAACGTATGTGGTACTGTATTGTTTAGTAATGTTTTAGCATGTCTAAGTTCAATACATATTTGCTTCTCTTTTTATGCTAGAACTTATTTATTCAACAGTTCTAAAAACGAAATGTGAAAGTGATACCTCTAGCTCGTGAAGAGGCTATAAAACAAGACTAGTAAAATTTATTTTATTTTTAACTTAAGACTGCTTTCTTACTTGTGCATCAGCAATATATGTTGTTTTATGGTTAGGATAAAGTTGGAATGAAAATTTGCCATATTCTTGGCAATTGTCACCAGATAGCAGTAAAAAAAGTGCACATTGAAAAACGGTATAAAATCTGTGAGTCATATAAGAATCTACTGGTTAGAAACAATATTCGCACGTCTATTCGATAATACTGATATTTTGTAATAAAAAACCATGATATAGGTTTGTTATGTGTGCAGTCAAATGTGACGAAAGAGGCAGAACGAAAGAATAAAAAACAAGTACTGTATTAAACAGTCGATGACGACAGATATCCATTAATTACTCTTGATCAACGACTATCAAGTGCTCTCTTCTTTCTAAAAAAAGTCGATTATCGTAAAAAACGTCAAAATGAATATAAATACATAGGAGCCATAGTGTATTCTCATTTCCGAATGTAAAATTGAAGTTCAAAATGTGTTAAATTTAATTTATTTCAATTAAAAACAAACTCAAATCTCAAATTTTCGTTTCTACAAAGTTTTAAGAAAAATTACTGAGAAGAATTTTAATACAACTTATCCTTTCTGTTATATGTTTAAGCTAGTTGTAATTTATAGAGTTCGCTAAACTATAATAATGTTGAGCAATCAAAATGTAAACATTTCACCTATACTACTGGTCTCAAATTCTTAGATACAGATGAAATTTTCTTTTCAATAGTTTACGTATTCTGCTATTGGATGTAATTAAGTTCAACGTTACTTTGTACACAAAGAATGAGCATAGGTTGTGACTCTTCGAATAGTGCTACGTGCCACCATGCTGTTTCAATTTAAATGAATCTAAGTACGCTGTGGGCAAAGTATTTTTTGCCTAGCCTGTAAAGAATCTAACTGCAGTTTAACTGTATATTTCGAAAATAGAATTAACCAAACATCTTTTGTTGTAACCGTTACCTTCTCAATGTCGTGCTCGTATTTGAATGTTACTCAGTAATAGTAAGAAGAAAATAAACATAACTCTTAGAAAGACTAGAATACACATTTTCTATGCTAGTTTGTAACATAAAAATATCGAATGCAGAATTCGGTATAGTATTACCGTTTGAATGGAATCTATATTACGTCTTATGAATAGTTGTATGCACTAGTTCTACTGTTTATTTGACTATGAAAAATCGTGAACTTGTTGATAGGACATCGAATACTGTTTGGTATGACTGAAGGTGCAACGAAAAGGCACTTTTCGGAAAATTTTAACTTTTCAAACTCGTTCTTTTTAGGATTCGTGTTGTTCTTGGTTCAATACTCGAAAAAAATGTAAGAATTTTTTCATTTATTTAATAGAATCGTATCTACTATGGAGTAACAACTTTAGATGCTGTATCATATAAAGCTGTGATATCATTGAAGAAAGTTCATTGAATTGTTTATTTATCCAAAATCAATTTATTGACTTGATATCAGTGTGGAAAATGCGAACTAGTCTATACGATGGATGTGTGATGTAATCCTGTCACAAACAATGAATAATTATGTTCTTATTTCACAGACATGATCTACCTACATGTCAAGATGTTACAGTAATAATATTCTTTTAGACTAACGGTGCTTCTAACGATCTTGCAGCATTCTCAATCCTTTTCCTCAGTGGCGACACACAACAGTAGTTGTTTTCAACAATTACAAAAGCCCCTAAAACTAATTAAAAACCAGGCGAAAACCGTTGAAAACTAACGTCTAAACCATCTCTACATTGGCTATGCTTTAATTACGTCAAATCTGACGACAGAACACAACAAATTTTAAGCCTCATGAACTGTACAATCTGAACAATAGTATTTTGCTGAGCTCTATCTGATGACGTCAGGATGAGGTCGAAGTCTTCAAAAATGACAAAGGTTAACTGAGCACATTGACGAAGTTTAAAACATCAAACATATATAAACAAAGCAAAGAAGATTGTGACGTCATCAACACCATCTTCGATCTGCAAAAAAATTGAACTTACGAGATGTTTCCAGTTAGATAGCAATGTTACCTGTAATTGTGAATGCTCAATCACAAGAGGAATAGTTTCGATGCGTTCTTAGGAATTCTAACTTTTTCCCATCATATAAGAATGATTTTTTCGTTGATTTTGGTCTACGAAACTGTATGCTTTAAATTTTATATAAAGTTTCGTAGACCAAAATCAATTAAAAAAATCATTGCTATAGGATGAGGAAACATTAGAAACTGGATTTTACGCGTTTTTTTTAAATTTTTTGTCTGACTTGGATTCACACCCTTCGTAAGTCAAATTCTTATGGATAAAACTTGTACTATAGTAGATTAAAATGATATATATTTTTATGATAATAAAAATAAAAAATAAAAATAGACACTAATTAAATTAAGAAGATCGATTTTTTTAAATTCATTTTTTACATATTTCAATTTCATTTTGAACTGTTTCTTGATCATGATCAAGTACCCATTGATAAAATTCTTCATCAATTTTAGCAAAACGACATTAGTCATATGTTTTCTATCATCAATATCAAGAAAATACCGTGCACTACATTTATCTTTAAATATTTTTCTTTCTTCACGTTGATTTAAACCTTATTGATAATCTTGTTGTTTATTAAAATGAATTAATACGTTCTGGCGTACATTACAAATGAATTCTTTTTGATCTTCAAAACTTTGATATAAATCATTTTTTTTGATATTTTATGTTCATTTAAATACTGTGGAAATTGAATATAAATAGAACGTTTTGATGTACGTTGTCGATGAGCATGATTAAGTTGATTATCATCAAAATAAATCTAACGAAAATATTTTCCTTGAATAATTCATTGAAAAAAAAATCGTTTTGATTATCAAAGTCTTTTAAATTTTTTTCATAATTATAACCAAGAAAATCAAAAATATCTTTAACATTAGTTGATAAGATTAATCTTGTTAATGTTCTTGTTGGATTAAATTCTTTAGTATATAATATTAATCAATTTGAAATAGTTCAAAATCGAATGAATAACCACCACCATTATGATATAATGCTTCTGGATTAAATAAACCTTTAATTAAATTTAGAATATTTGTTGATGATGGACATACAATAAGAACATCAAGATCAGAAAATGATTCTTTATATGGAAATTCTTTTGGAATATCAAATTTATCAATATGTCCTCGAAGTTTATTTAATATACGTTCTTTTAATTGAAAATATTCATCTCGTCCATGACTTTAATGCATGTCCACCCACGATTGTCTTAATAACTTCTAGTTTTTTTTTTCACAATTCTTATACTTCTACATATGCATTTAATTATCAGAAAAAAGAATTTCATACAACAGTTATTGCTCAATTTTTTGTAAAAAATGATGCAACTATGAAGACATACTTATTCATCGACTTTCAAAGGCAAGAGAAATATTTGGTCATAATAAATACATAGATTCATTAAAAATACTATGTGTGGCATAATGATTGCTTTTCAAGTATCGTAATGAGATATTGCATTGAGTTAATTGGATGATCTTCTTATAAGGCTAAAAATGATGCTGGGTTATGACGAAATGTCCTATTATTCTGAGAGAAATACAGATAAAAATAACGTTAAAAAAAGTCTTCTTCTTAATACAAACAAAACATTTGATTATATTATAATTTACTTTCAAAAAAATAAAACAAATATAATAAGATAAAATCATGAATATGTATGAAAAACATTATCTCTTATTACGTTATTCAACTGCATGAACTCTTTGAAGAACAGAGCCGATCACATTTTGAACACAACTCATATCAATTGTTTTGGGTGTAAGTGTACATGTCAATGTAGTTGAAGCGCAGATGTGCACACACGCATACTCCTCACACCCACACCCTAAACGGTATGGTGCAAAATTTATATTTTTTTCATACATTCGTAAATCAAATGATGCGAGACAAGGAGAAACACTTGCACATAGGATTCGCGATTTTTATATAAAATAGTCAAAAGCATAGTGTGAAACGTCCGATGTTTCTAATTAACTATCGTGTTACACTGTGTTTTTGACAAGTTCATATAAAAATTACAAATTTATTGCCCCATTGTTTCGTTTTGCAACCTCATATTATTGATGAATGTATGACAAATGTAAACCATATATTGTTCGAAAAGGAAGACTTTTTCATCTTGGCAGATAGGAACGACATTTCTTTGCAGAAGTTGACCATCAAAAAGACATAGATATCAAAATTTGGACCTTGTTTGTTGAATCTCAGGAGGACTATGCATTCGTCTTAACGATACTTGTCTTTCCTCTGATGTAATTTCGTTCACGAATAAGTTATAAAAACAAGTTACATACGATTTACAAGAGAACAACATTTTCTATCTATCGATGAAAACATTCTCTTTTAGTACCCTTCTATGGAAGGAAGATAGAAGTCGACATTTGTTGCGGTACACTCGCATCAGGTATCATGTTGAACTCTGTCGAAGTCTCGTGAAGTCTTTAGAAGTCTTGGATCTCACTATTTCTACTTCGATTTTTATTGAACAGAACAATAAAAATTCCGTACACAACTGGTGGACTATGTCGTCGACAAATTCTAAAACAGAAAAAAGTTCTGCCACATCTAATCTTCTTGTACAGTACTAAGCTAGGCTTTAAATACATGTAAATAGTCAGAAGATCCAGAAAATTTTTTTATGTCAGCTTGAATACTTCGATGTCTGATGTAGTAAACGTACGATCTCCAGTAAATGTTCTACAGCCTCTATTGGTTGTATCCAAGTATGCTCTAGGAAATCCAACAGTGCTATTCGTGTTTGAGTTACTGTCCGTTGCCACGTATAGATCAAGACCACAACCAAATGTTGGTCCAAAGCCACCGTTATGACAAACTGCATAAGGTACGAATTGCTTAACGACTGAATATTTAGTAGGCGAAATGGCATGAGGGTTCGTTAGAGTGAACAAGAATGCAGTGGCATCACTCTCAAAGTCACCACTTGAACTCCAAGGGACTGAGGTATAACCACCGAACAAGTAACCATTGTTCGATTGGATAATTGTTATTGTCTCCCCATCTTGATCACAATGTGAGTGAAATGAAGCAGCATCGAATCCATGCCTTGATGCTTTATACATTAGTGTCCATTGCTGATTCTGATTCCCATAAAATTCATTTAATATACTCTTGTGTTCAGGTTTAAGAAGTGTACTACCCGGAAAACCACCTTCGATGAGCATATCGAAAATTATTGTGTTGTAATTGTCAAATACTGTTGGAACATTCAGTTCTATTGGTTCCATGAGCTGGATCTACGAAAATTGATCGAACAAATATTAGTCATTACAAATATTGATCGATACAAAAATTAATCGACAAGATCATTGTTCGATGTATGTACTGGTTGAGAATTTTATAGAAACACACAGAAGCTTTTTAAAAACGTTTCATCGCAGACGAAAAGGATAAACTGACACCAAAAGGAGATTGATGATACTATTTATAAATTAACAGTCGCCACAAAAAATAAATTTTTTTTCTCTGATATACGCAATACATGAACTAGAAAATTCTTTTAACAATTAAAATTGTTACACTTACAGATTTTCATGAACTTATATCAAAATTAATTCTGACAGAAAACTTAAATCAAGAACAAAAATATCTTAAGTTTAACATACGACTACGTCAATAAAGTATGCAGTGAAAGCTAACATGGGGTCTAAAAAGAAAAATATGTGAAATTTCATTATCAATTACTAAAGTTAACCTGAAATAGCTGATGAAGTAAGAATTAGGATATGTTTCAGACACTATTTATATAAAAACGTTATTATTTTACTCTGAAAAATCAAACTAGATACTAGAAACTCAAATTATTTTTTCACAATAATAAAAGAACTGACGAAATAAATTAATTTTGTATTTTTCTTTCTTCAAAGTAATAAGATCTTGGAATGTAGAAGGCGTTTACTTTTCTTTTACATGATCATACTATAAAATTCAGAACAACTGCTCATACTTTCTTAACTGATACTTGTTTTATTTTGCATTCAATTGAAAGTCTGGTTCAAAAATCTTTATTTTAATTACTATAAATTTCTTGACTAACATTCATATCGAACAATTTTCGTGTCGATCAAGTTTTGATTTTCCTACGGAACTGCCACATGTTTCTCCCGCAGGATATGATCTCAATATGAAACTTTTTTTGAAAATTGATCATGAGATGTGTCACACTTCACCGAACAAACTAGTTCATGAACGGCACGTTTTGCATTTTTCTCACAATCCATCTTAAAAAAAAATTAGAATTAAAATTAGATAAGAATGGATTATAATTGTATGTTTTTAATCAAAAATGATCGGAAAATCAAAATTTCATTAATTATCAAGATTAAATTCAATTGCAATCAATTAAATATTTTGCTACAAGCATAAATTTTAATTGATATTTCTTCATGAAACATCTAAAAAAAAACTTCAACCGATTTTTGTCGCTTTGCATCAACTGTCATCAATCTTTTTCATTACGTTTTAATCGGTTATAATCAAAATTAATCTTAACAATTGATAAAATTTCGATTTGTTAGTCATCGCTAATTTAAATCGGTTAAAAATTGATTAAAATCATATAATTATAATCGGTTTTTAATCATTTTTTAACCGATTATCATCTTATTTTAACCCTAATCTTTTCACATACGAAGCGGATAAACATTGATTGTTTATAAGTCGTCTTCTCACGTGCTTTGTTTTCAATTTTTTTTCAAGAAAAACGTGACAACATTTTTTTTACATTGTTGACTCTTCTATGCCTCCTCCTAAGTGTTTCCCTGAAGTGGTCGCAAGTTAGCTGTGAGTCAATTTGTATCAAAGACTGACATCTATATTTATATTTACAAACATAAACTAGATCTGGAGCGGGTGTGGTTTGAATGAAGATAATAGTAATATTAACATCCATACCCTATCAACAATCATTTGAGAAAAGAAACGTCTTGGTCAATTTAGAACAAGCCAAGACATTTATCAATAATTAATTCGTTTGTTACATTCATAAGATGTATCACTCTAATGCATTCCTTTTTCATTATTTATTCTCAATACTAATGATTGACTTTCGATTAACGTTACGTAGTTGTATAGATGTAAGTCGGCGAATTAATAGACAGTAGTAACCTGTGGTCAATTGAGTGTATTCATCTTTATCATTGGTTGATTTCTTTTTTCTTTTGGCATACATTTTCCTAGATATAATAACATTTTAGTACATGTTTATTGATAGATGCACGATTGATTGATAAGGTTTCTGTTAGTTATTTTAGGGTGACATCTTTTTAATGGTATGATCATCAATACCAATTTCTGCATGCCTAACGTATAATATTCGTTCTACGATCTCAACTAAATTCAATACTTGCTGAACAGAGATTGAACCCTTTAGGTTTCAAAGTGAACCGAATTTTGATCGATCTGAACCTTTTAAAAACTGTATAATTAGAATTAACAAAAGACAGATTGATTAGTCTACATGTGTTAGAAAGTTGAATATAATACAATTCTTTGTGCATATTTCTGCGGAAGCTTATTTTTTTTAATATTCAGTCAAATATTATTGAGCCACATTTGATTCTAATATTTGTGCTCATTGGTTTCTTTCAGTATTTAATTAATTGAGCATGAAGATTTGTTTTTATGAATTGTATCATTTAGCTTGATCAACAATGTCGTTTTTTTATATGATGAGATCATATTTATTGCTCTTTTGAAAATGAAACATCAATATGTTTATTTGACGAATAGATAACGCCATATTTATTGACAATATAAGCAAATACAAGTTTTTTTTCCTTGAGCAGGAAAAAGAATACTTCCACCAGCTCCTAAAATAAAATAAAAATTAATAAATTGATTTCGATTAATAATTAACAAATAAATCTTCATGACCGAATAGTCTTGATCCAAATGCTTTTACATCGTTTTCAAAAACTTGAAATCCTTTTATAAATGCATTAGGATAACTTCGTACAAGATCAATTTCATTTTCAGATGTATTCGATGATGTCAATCGTTTTTTGTTTTCGATTATCTAAATATCCAATTAAAGAAGCGTAAAGTTATGCAACTGAACAAGCATTTGTTATTCCATTAGTACTTGGAAATGGTGCTTGATGATAAGAATAATCATTAAATAGAGGTAACTCTGAAAGAATTCTTTCATCCCTAATATTTCTCACATTAGAATCGAAATATGAGTCCATTCTGGTTTTCTTTGTTGGCAAGTATATGAATAATCTCTCTCAAGTTGGTCAATATTTTCTAACGGGTGATGAATAATTAAGTAAACCTCTTTGAACACATAATGAAACAGCTGTAGCTACTGAACCTATTGTTGTTGAAAACGGAATATGTAATGTAACATTCTCATAAGGTTTACTTTTTGATTCATTGAACCAACCACCCCATCGATCAACAACTGGTAGTCCTTTATAATAAAAACTGCAAATGATGCTCTCAAATCCTGTTCTTGTAGAAAATTCATTATGAATAAAGTTCCATCCAGGATCAGTTTTACCATGAACAATATCAAACGATTTAAGAGAAAGATTTTTCGAATAGTAGTCAATCGTTTTAAATTATTGTCTAAGTTTGCTTTTGTTTCTTGAAAGTTCAGACAATGTTTCAAGTTAAAGTCTTGATGTTGCTGTACCGATTAGTTTTTTTTTCGAATACTACAATCAACTTTATCTTAATATGTTATCGGTATTGATTCACAGAGCGTCATATCTACCACAACAATAAATCTACCCGGTAAGATTAGGTTCGTGTTCTTGTCCATTCGTCTCTTATGTAAAGACTATCATCAAGCATTTTGTTCTAACATTAGTACTTGAAAGATGGAAATAGAAAAATGTCAAGAGATTTGATTGTGAAGATCTGATTCTGTTTTGTTGAAGAGCGTATGCTGCTTTAAGATATGTGATATTGTATAGCTACCCATTCTTTTTTATAATCCATTGTCGTTTAAAACGTCTTTTAACTATTGATAAATTTAACGTTTTTTCTTCAATCTTTTAATATTGCTTTTGTAATCCACTATTTTCTATCACAAAATTCAAGAAAATATAAATAGAATTGTTATCCTATAATGCTTATTCTTCATAGAAAATGTATGCTCGGAATAATATTTAAAAGTAATATGTTTTTCTTCAATGCAGAAAAGACACATGCCAATTCACGTGCTGTTAAACATCAATGATGGATCGAAATTTTTCGTATTACCATGAGAAAATTACAACAGAAAGTATTTCTTTTGCTAATTTGATATTTTTTCTTGTGAAAAGTAACTTAGTTGTCTATTGGCGCCTGCACACAAAATCACCTGAACTTAAGTAGCATAACAATGCTATATTTATTCCGTTTACAGCAAAAAATAGTTTACTAGAAATGAAAGATTTCATCTTCTAATGGTGAAAATGACGATTAGATAAGGATCAAGCAAAAGGAATTGTATTGGTCAATGGTAACACTCAATGTAGATCGATTTCTAGTGGAAATAGTTGGTGAAAAATAGACATTCAATATTTGACTTCATTCGATATTAGAATTTTCCACTTAAGATTAACGATATTTTCAATAAAACTCAATGTATATACTTGTGAAAAAGATTACCCAAGACAATTTGTGAAAAGCAAGGATTGCATGTTGCGAAGAGTCAAACATTGACTTGAATGTCAATTTGTTCATTCTGTCTGAATTCGTTCTTCTGACAATTGCCACTACGGAATACTAAAGAAGCTCGGTACAATCAAATTCTTACTTTTGATTGTTAGTTCTAATTCTCGAGTTTTTCAAATCCATCATAATTGTAATAATTCGAGAAGAGAGAACTGATCGAACTTTTATTTTCAATTGTGTCACCTGTTTTCAATTACTTAGGACTTATCCAATTTGTGACTATCCTTTTGTTAAAGCTTTACAAAAACTATAGATCTCTTTCGACAAAAAAATCATCAATAATTCTCCTCCGTTGTTCGAATATTCTCTTCCTCAGTAAGTTTAATTAGACTAGTTTCAAAGTAGATTTTATGAATCAATCATCATAATGAAAAACATTTATGAATGTTTTTTTTGGTTTTTGTTCTCTCCAACAACTTAACTTTGTCGATCATTAAAAACCAATTGAATATAACAATAACCATTGCACCTACTCACTATACGATACGACATTCATGCTATTGTGGTTTGATTGTATAAAAAGCTAACATATTCTAGAGTCGAACCTAAAAAAACTAAATCAATTTCAATGCATTTCGACGACCTACGGTATGGTGTGTGGATGTATAGAATATTCTAATGTAACTCTAGTGCAATTCACTATCTTAAGCTCTTACCATGCAGCATGTTGACAGTATATCACGATGATTTAAGAATATTTTAGTCATAAACACGAGTTAAAAAAAGAAAACACTGAAATATTGTCTCAGTATAGTGATCCAGCACGATATGAAATTGATAAAAAGTTATTTTTTTTAATTTTCTTATTGAATAACAATGGTTGTTTCGTTTCGAGATAGATTATTTTTCATCTAATGTATTAATTTGGTTTCATGGAAGGTGAGCATGTAGTTCGAGTATATGGGAACACTTTAGTTTGGTCGATAACATTATCGATATTAGCTGTTCATATCCATTTGGACATGTGAAGGTTTTTGTTTATATTTTTCCAATTTGTCTCTTCGATTTTGAAAATCTTTCACAATATATTTTTCTGCTTCTTGCCGTAGCCATAATTTACTTGTGTGATGTTTCATTATTTGTTTTAGAAGAATTACACTTAGGATTATTCCAACGAATAAGCCAATTACAACACATATTAAGACTACAATGACGATACTGACAAAAAAAGACTTCTTGCTGTTATTACAACAATAATGGCAAGCCGATCCAAAGTCAATATTATTGTTGCTAGCACAGAAAAAGATAATCAAAGTAACAAAACCCACAATGGCCAATAGTAAAATAAAAGCACTAAAATAATAAATCATCAATTCATTGATTGAGTCTGGAAAATGATGTTTGATTTTTTCGCCATTCTTGTCAATCACCCTCAATATAAAGGCTAAGCCAAAAACAATCATTTGAATCAAAAGAATAATTGCAGTTGAATCACGAATAACAAAGAAATAATATTTTAAAAGCCTATCTCTTTCAGCTTTTGGATCGTTTTGAACAGTTTCAATGATGAATTCGAATTGGCATATATCACAAAACTTGAAACCTTTTCCACGTTTATTTTCTGCTCGCCAATAATTTAGGCATGTTCTGTGAACATAAGCTGAATTACCAGTACATAAACATGGACTTATGATATCATCAGGATTGTCAGTGTCTAAACATATTCGACATTGTTTTAATTGATCATTTGACAGTAACAGTCCAGTATCGCTTCCTGCAGACATGATTGAGCTTCACTGAAATACTTAAATACAAAGAGAAAATATTAAAATAATTACGATAAATGGTTTGTGTGCGAGGAAAATCATCAGCTACTGGTGCGTACTTGTCCTCTTTTTCTCCATATCAAAATAGTACTCTCTTTAAAGTTTCAATATGAAGAACATGTTCAGAATTTCTATATTTGAACATTGTTAAGTTTGTGTCACGCTATAGTTCAATTATAATGAGAAGGAAGAGAGAGAACATGAACAAATGAAAATAGAACAAATCTACAGTATAATTTCGACAAATGGTTTAGATTTAAGAAGGACATACGTAGCTATGGAGAAACAGACTCTCGTTATTTTACATTTTCTTCTTCCTTTTTTCCATCTGTCTAAATCATATGATAGTTCTATTCTTTTTTCATTTGCTTCAGAGTTTTTTTTTTACTAATCACTAAAATCGCAATGCAAATCAATGCATGTAGAATAAAGTTCAAACAAGAAAATTCTGAATAAAATACTATTTTGATAATAAGGAGGTTGATAATCATACATCAATAATATTGCAATAGATTCCAGGGAAATAGAATACTTTCAAGAAAAACAAGCAATCAGAAAAAACTTTTCGCTTCTCTAATTAAAATAGTTTCTATTCAAAGTTTTCTCCACAATAATATTCATTCAAAAAGAAACAAGTGAATTATGCGTGTAAGTTTCGCAGACATTTGAGTTCAAGTTAACTAAAAAAACAATAAGTACTCTAAACAATTTTCTCGCAATGTAAAAATTAAAATGATTCTCATTTAGGCAATCTTCCTAGCTAGAGCCCTGCAGGGTGCCCATAACCTGTCCTGCCCTGCCCTGCCCTGCCAGGACAGGGCAGGGCAGGTTGCAAAAGTAGCAGGGCAGGGCAGGGTCAGGTTACGAAATTTTTACAGGGCAGGTTACAGGGCAGCACTGTCATAACCTGTTAACCTGCTATTAATTTATCGAATCAAACATTATAGACATCTTTTGAAAAATTTTATACGAAGAAGAATATCGAAGCATAAAACAACTTAAAGTAGGAGAATTGATATACGAAGTCGATGAAAAGTTATGAATTTTTTTGTAATATCAAATATAGCAGGGCAGGGCAGGTTACAGGTTATGAAAAAAAGTCTCAGGGCAGGACAGGGCAGGGTACGCGAAAAAATTCACAGGGCAGGACAGGATTAGGTTGCAGAATTTTTACAGGGCAGGTTACAGGTTACGAAAATACTGCACCCTGCAGCCCTCTATTCCTAGCCTTCTGATCAAATTTTCAAAGCCTTAAAAATTGTAGTAAGAATATATCATATTACTTATCCCACTAGAAATCAAAACGAAGTAGATTTACAAATGAGTATCAAACTCTTTTAGATTTTGTAACATATCTGCTATTTAAAAGTTTGTTGCAAAGTATCTGCTATGGATTGCTTAATCAATCTTTTCTCTTTCGATTATTATTCTTTTAGTTTAGACATTATGATACCGCATTTTGATCACATATAGTATATGTATAAACATCAATACTCTATATTTGAGCACCTACTTCTCTTACTTTTAACTACAAAGAAAATGTCCTATTTTCTTCTCTTATCCATTATTACATAATTCAGCTCTCTTTATGTGTGTCGTAAATAAGATCGTTTGCTTGATTATTTATCAGCATTAGTATGATCAGAATAAGTTAAGTCAAGGATATGACGAATACGCACTAGAGTTGTGAAACTAACTTACATGATTTAACTTCAAGTATTGAAGAAATAGATTGAGTTTTTGACAAAATATTTCTGAAAATTTTGCAGTCGATCACAATATGTCCTTAACAATGAATGTATGCTGAGTAATGCAGAACGAATTGCAACATACGAACATTTGATGCACTTTTGCTGCTCCTTCAAGCAATTTTTATTCATCAGTCTACGTCATGTGAACCACGTGTGTTATTCACGTAAAAGAAAATTGTGCAAATGTTTCTTCGATGATGATTTCTTCTTAATGGAGAGGCATGACTCATCGAAGGAGCAATAACGAGTCATTTGCAGAACATGTAAATATTGTTGTCAACTTGATGAAACATCTTTTGACCTTGTTAAGCTGAGAAGTCAGCTAAGACAAATGAATGGGGATTGCCTATTACAATAATAACCACTATTCGTTTAAGAAAAGTTTTGAATTCGAAGAACTAATATCTCAATGTTTCATCCGCAAAGTTACAATAAAAACTACATAGTCTCTCTCGTCAATAATATTCATATTGTCCAAGACATGAATTTGATAAGCATTTTCAAATATAAAAACTCGAGAGTATAACAGACAGATGATGACAGTTTCTTCATTGAAATTAAGTCGATTTTCCAAAGTATTTCTTATTCAAGAGTATTTCTTTTTGTTTGTATTCGAAATATTCTTGATCAGTTCTGAGTACAATACATTAGAAATATTGTTCATATCGTCTAACGATGCACAAAATAAAATGGATAAATAACCTTACACTGCATACCAAATGTTGAAACTCAAACATTGATGAATACAATCTATCGTTTTCAATTCATATTCTGAATGCATGTGCTAAAATTTCAAAAAGAAAATAATCGAGTGTTTTGAGAACTATTCTTAGTATTGGTTAATTTTTAAATTCCACAATTGATGTAGGCGTAGGTATGAATATAATCTCTAATATTGAGTTTCATTCACATTCACACACTCTCAATCATTTGCTACTAATAATTATCAATAAAATTCCGTCATCGAATAAGAAAACTGAAGTTAAGTCTACACCACAGATCAGATAGAACGAGAATCATCATGAAAGAAAAAAAAATGAGTTTTAGAATCCACATGAAAATAAAAAGAAATCAGATTAAATTTCTCTCTCATTAAAGCATTTTATAGTATGGATAGTGCAACAATTCAATCTCGCTCAAATGATTAATATCCAAAGCACAGGACTGACATTACATTATTTATTTCAATTGAATAGGATGTAAGTGAGAAAAAAAAAATATACCATACCTACAACCTCTTAATGTAATGAACCGTAACGCGTTCAATAATTTGTAACGACGCACCGTTCACAATAACATTTTTATAGTGGAAATATAGATGTATAGGTGTGAGTGTGAGTTTTATTTTCACACACCCCATACCTACACCTATCTACTTATTGGTACGTGAGCTAATAAGCATAATGTGTATGATAATGATATGGAATCTCTGAATTTCCATTACAATAATATATTTCTTACTATTGAAAGAACAATGTTCAAATAAAATAATTGCTATTCTCTCAACTTAGACAGATAATTATATCAAAGTCATAGATGAAAAATTGACTGCTACAACTAATATTATATTTGATTATAAATTCTATGGATACGTAACTCAACAATATTACTTATCCTCATGATCCAGATGACCATTATATCTTCGGTGCCAATGAATGCGTGACTAATGCAATAGCAGCATGTATTAAAATGTATAGGCCTGATCTTTCAGGAGTATATTTATAATATACCGATGATGAAGCGCATCAATTTGAAGACAGTGAACGATTCAACCAAGCAGTCTAGAATATTAATCATCAGATAGAACGAATTTGGGAAGCTATCGATTACCATATGAAACATAACAAAGAAGATTGGTTATTCATTATTATACGACATCATTGTAGAGACACTATAAAACGTAAAGAACATGATTATCACTCCAGTAGAAAACGAATAAGTTGGACAATAATACAAAGTCAACAAATAATTAATTATTTTCATGACTGTTAATCTGCCATAGTTGAGATGTATTCCACAATGACAAGATGGATCGATCTTAACATTTCGTTTGAATATGAATGAGAATAAGATGGATTTTAATTAATAAGAAATGTATCATTCATAAAACTGATTGTCAAGTTACATGATGATAATTTAAACATTTTCTGGACAGTTTTAGATCTTGTAGGATATGTAAAAGTATGGTTATCAACGACAAATTTATTAAAAGATTCTATGATCAAAACTTATCATTTAATCTGAATAGTACATATAGACAAGAACAAATGATCATCGTTGATATACAAGAATAACCATCAAATTTCTATAAAGTAGTTCTGGAAGAACAATATAATACAATGAACAGATGAATATTTCTGTCATATTTTCCGCATTCTTCATCAATTTCAATGGTACATATGTCTTGCACACCCAGAAGTTGTTCTCATTCGCAAGTACGCTTTTCTTGTTTCTTCATAGTCATCTACACATGGATTCACCGGTAGTCATCGCCATCATACAATCAAATAATAATATTTAGAAAAATTAAAAATTAACATTTAAAAAACATATATATATGTTCGATGAAAGTATGCAATCAACTTTTGAAGGAATTATGAATAGAATACTGAAGAAAAAAAAATTCGCAGATGAATAAGAGGTATTTTTTGGTTCTATTGAATACTATGTTTTTTTTTTCGTCTTTCGTCTAATTTATGATTTTCGTATCATAACATCAGTGTTTGATAATGTCTATATGTTTCTAACCTTGCATTTCAATATCTCGGTAAGAGACATATTTTGCATAGCAAATTAATTTTATGATTTATTGAAAAGATTTCTTTTTAAATAAAAATAAAACAAAATCAAAATCAAAAAATAATATCTTTCAAATTAAAATCAACCAAAAAAAAACAGTATATGATGATATCATAATAGTTCACATTGACTACTCTTCTTTAGCAGATATATTGATTAATCTGATTGGAAGTTTGACAAGATTAAGTTGATTATCAATACTAACATCAATAGAACCTGATAAGGATAAACGAAGAGTACCAGCTTTAAGAGCAAGCAAAAGTGAAGTTAATGTTCCTAATCCTGCTGTAGTTTTTAGTTCAATTTCTGGTGTTATAATTTCTGCATTAGCACCTATGCTAATCCTTGAACTATATGTGACTATACCAATTTCTTTATTTGAATCGACTACAGGACCAGAATCAACTCTTATATTCATTCCTGTTATGGTTAAAGGTGCACTAAAAGGATTTCGAAGTCGAATGCGTGAACCAATCTTTTTGGTAATCAGTATCGAAGCGACATCTGCTATGCCTATTTTTTCCAGAAGAATTTCTCGAACAAGTGCTCTTTCCCCATAGAGACCAGGAACTTGTGTACGAATACGTAAGCCAGATATAGCCATTGAAAGTAAAGGAATCGAAGTACCTATGGAATTATTTGGTAAAATACCACGTAATTCAACTTGATTATCTTCACCCGAAACCATACGCGAAACAAATTGTTGAGCTATAGCAGAGTTTTGTTGAGTTATTTCAAAAGTACCTTCTGCACTAAGTATAGTACTATTATCTTGTGTTTCAAGATAAAATGGATCGATAATAACTAAACCAAGTGAAATATTACTTGTTAATTCACATAAATCAAGTGAAAGACGACCACCATTTAGAATATAAACAACAGAAGGATTATTTATTTTTGTTTTAACATTAAGAGCAAGCTCATGAGATGATAAAGCTTTAGTTAAATCGACTTCATCAATACTTAAAAGTCCATTATCAAATTGATCATAACCAGCTAGATGAAGTGTATCACTAACAGAAATATTACTTAAAGAAATATTTCCTATTACAATTTCAGCAAGTGCTTCAGCTAAACCTTCAATTGTTACTGATACATTGCTTGTTAGAACAAGACTAGTAGCAAATTCTTGAAAAGCTATTTCATTAAGAACAACAAGTTCTTGTTTATTAAAATTCATTAAAAGTTCATTAGTAATTTGATTATGTTCAACAGGTATATCATAAAGAGTCATTTTACCTAAATTTGGTCCATCATTAGAACGCATTACATAATCAATACTAGTTGTGAATGCTTTAAATGTCATATGAACATTAGATGGTAATTGAAATAAAACTGATAATTGACCAGTTATATAAACTTTATTGACAACTATTGGATCAAATTCAATACCAAAACTAAGAACTTCTACTCGCTGAATTAATTTTGTTTCTATACCATCAAGTTTTGATGTCATCGATAGACCACTTATTGTTAAGTCCAGTGCAGTAGCAATATCTTCATCAGTAGATAATTCATGAAAAAGTGTTACTGATTGTGTTAGACCATTGAGATATGCAGAAAAAAATTTACCAACAACAGGCAAATCACTTGTGTTTAATGGTGCAAGTAGTCTAAAATAAGCATGAAAATAAAATGATTGATATAATATAAAACAAACAATAAACATTATTATAAGTTCTCATCCTATGGAGCTTCGGCTAACAAGGAAAAATTAATAAAAATGTTAATCATAGTGAAAATTAGTTTGGAAAGAACTCAAATAATTTTTTTTGGTTTGGATCTTCATATATTGTTTTATCAATGAAAAACAAGCATGAGAATATTATAGTTTAGCTATAAAGATGTCAATTGTTATAATGAATATCATTAAATGAGTTGACAACTTTGCTGCTCGATTAGTTACAATATTCATTAAATACATGTGTAAAACTAATTGAAAGACCTAAATAATGTTCCAGAAGTTAGTTTTTTTGAGAAGTTTGAATAAACTATCAAGTCACACAATTATACAAACCGATGCATCGTACCTAGATTGTTTCTTTGACAAATACTATTTGCATCATCATTTAATTAACATATCAGATGCTTATAAAAAAAATTTAAAAGGTTTATGAAAAAAAAAAATGTTCTATTCCAAGACGATTCCAATTCAAAACATATAACAGCAATTACATTATGAACTATCAATGAATTATAGACTGGAAGAGTTCTACCTGAAGATAAAAATATAGAATTTATAGATGTGTCACTCATTGAAAATGTATTTTATTTTTGATCCGTTTAAAGATTTTCATTAAAACATTACTTTTGTGCATGTCACTAATAATATAAGAACTAATCTTATCGGATAATATGCCATTCCAAAATTCGTCCTAAATATTCGAAGCTTATATAAATATAGTTGGATATGATCTTGCTCTTTTCTGTTCATATAGAATTGTTCTCGGTGAAAGGCAGAACTTACAGAACAGCTTTATATAAACATTTTTCTACCCTTGAATCAATTTTTTTTATGAATATTTTAAATAAACTACATGGTTTATAATGTATATGAAAGATGATATCTATGTAATCTAACTGATTTCTTATACTATTAATTTATCATATCTTGTCTAGCTTAACCCTTTCGCGCCGGAGTTTTTTCACTAAGAAATGTGTTCGTATTCAATGGACAATTAGTTTTATCACAGTATGTAAAAAGCTCGAGCGTCTCAGGAAGGAAGAGTAGCTTTCTGAATCGCTAGAAATTCTGTTAGTCAATGATCTCCACCTTTTATAATATAATTTTTATATATAATTTTTATTAGAAGTGTTTCAATGTATGATAGGTTTCAAAACATGGTACTACGCATAAACCAATATTGCACTCCTTGCACTTGTAAATGCAATATCATGCATGTAAACAGAACAAAAGAAAATGTGAATAGAATACGCATGTGTGAGAGTGCTATACTATGATACTGACGGATGGCAGAACAGGAGACAAAACGCGCAAGTACAAGTCCTACAGATTTAACAAACTACTTCTTTCAATTTTTTAAGACAGACGAAACGAAACCTTAAAAGCTTCGCATTAGAAATGCATATTTACTGTAAAATTATCATCTCCATTGGTCTTTCTATCCTTGTAATAGATAGAACTCCTCAAATACTCGTATCAAATTGTACTTGAAGTCGTATTACTACGGGCATATAATGAAAAACCCCACCGTCCTATACATGGGACACCCGCCGCGAAAGGGTTAACCAAACTTAAAATATAATTATTTTTAAAACACAACAAATGAACTAACCCATTGAGTATCATATCATTCTCTCCTGGTTTTAAAGATAGCACATTGATTGGTACTTGACCAAGAACTGTTTTGCTATCACTGTCAGCCATACTAAGTGTAAAATTTTGTAGTTTAACATCAGTTACACCTGGATTACTAATAGTTGCATTAATAGAAAGTTGAAGAGCATTATGGACTTCTCCATCAACAGAAATACCATGAACACGAACCGTATTAAGACCTGCAAGACCAACTAACGAGACATCATTATCGACAATAATTCCATCAATATTCAATGGACCAAGAGCAAATGAACCAGTAATAGAAGCAAAACCAGCAATACGAAAATGAATTGGATTAATATCATTAGCATTAATAAAATGTTGAGCAAATTTTTCATAAGTTTTACCTGTATTACTAAGTATTAAATATTCATTATCAAATTGTGTTTCATATGTCGTTTCATCAAGATATTTTACGGGTGCTTGAGAAATATTAAGCATACCAACAGAATTATTTTCATAGAGAAGATAAACATCCATATTCATTGAGCTAATATTAAGAGGTGATTGAGTACCAAGTGGTGAATTAATTTTAATCTTAATTGAAGCTGAAAGTGTTACTTTTTTTTCATTTGTCGATGGGATAAGTGACATAGACGTAAATATTAATGAAGGAATAAGTTGTTCAGCAAATGGAGGCATATCAACACCTAATGAAAGACCTTCCATACCAACAGCGAGTAAAGAATATGAAGTTGCATTTAAACCAGCTATTGCTTCAACTTTACTTGCTTGTCCAGTAAGAAAATTTTGTATAATTGTTGAAAGTGCATTATAAGATTGAGAAGATTCTGATTGTAGTTCACCAGAAAATGGTATTGCATTTCTACCTGGACGTAGAGTTGTATTACTATTAATTGATTCAACATAACCAATAGATAAATTATTATAACGTAGAGAAAATTTTAATTCACCTGAACAAAAAAACAAAAACAAGATAATCAACTAAGTAAATAATGTAATAAAATTTACTGACCAAGATCAATACTAAATATGGATGGATTTGGAATTTCAATTATGATATCAACAAATATTTGTTTTGAATTTGATCGAAGAAGACTTATTGATTTAATGCTTACGTTTTGCAGACCATTCAAAGCATTAAGTTTTACTTGTTTATTAAAAGGAATATTAGAATAAACAGGCATAGCACTCGAAATAGGTTGTATAGATGCTTTTGCTGTTAAATGCCATATAACTTGTGGTTCAAAAATAAGTGAACGAGAAAATCTATGAAAAGCTTGTAAATCAGAAATAATAAATGGAGAATCAACGGGAACTATTGTAGGGCGATCGGGATAACCATCAATACTAATTGGTTGATCATTTCTCACAGTTCCAACATTGTCTACATTGATAATAAGTGGTGGACGTATTGTAGCAGGAATTGATCCAGTACGTGATAATTCTAATTGAGCTCGTAGACGAAAATGATCATTTGCAATATCTTCAATATTTATTGAACGAAATGTTAATTCAGCTTTTTCAATTGTAGAACGAACTATAGCTGGAACGATTGCAAAGAACACAATTATTATTCCAATAAGTAAAGCAAGTAAAATGATAGCAACACATAATATAATAAATAGTTTACGATTCATTTGACAACCTTTATATCGGCCACACATTGTACAAAGAGTTATTGTTTTTGATGATGATTTTTTATTGTTATCGGAAGACGTTGTGCTTAAAACAGATTTCACATAACCTTCTCTAGTATTTGTGCTAACAGCTTCAGTAGAATCAGAAGCTTGTTCAGATGATTTAACAAAAAGTACGGAATGATCTGAACTAGGAGATACTCTTCCCTTCATTTTTGATTTTATATCTGAAGAAAAAATTAGAAATTCAATACAAAAACCGCTTACTTTTTACATATGACACTTCAAAGTTACATGTTTTTTAATATAATCATATCTATGTGAAAATATTCTCTTCAATGCATACACTTACTGTTTTTTTACATTTTTAATTGACCTTTGCATCTACACTCCAAAGATTATTATATTTTCATGTAATGTAAGGTCGTTTTTATTCTTATGACGAAATACTTTTTCATAAAACTCTAACATGTTGATGGACATTTGTTTTATTTTCAGATAAATAAAGAACATAGATAACGTGTTCGAATTATGAATGTTAAATTTCATTTTGAAGTAGGCTTCTATGATAAGATTTGTTAACAGATACGCACGGGCCTCGATGCTGGACGAGTTGATGTGGAGTAGCTTTCACTCCAATTTGTTTATTGTGTCTTCAACAATTGTCGAGCTGTTGTCGGAAAATTATCTACTCGAAGTTTAACAACGGCAATTTTCTTGAGTTACTTTCTGCCAAACATATTGTCTCTGATTAGATGTGGGTGTGTTTGGGTGTAGAGAGTAGGTATCACTTTTTTTTTCACCCACGTTTTCCACACCCACACCTCATAAGTAGAGAAAAAATAAAGTTTGTTAATTTAATATCTTAATTTTCTATTGCTTGTTCTGAAGTTAATACTAGAAACTTGAAGCGTAATAAAATGATTTCACGACCTCAATTATTCAATGTAAATCAATAAGAAACACTCCTCGAAGACCTTCACCATAATAAATACTATTGTCACGATACCCATATCTATCTTTGCACGCATAAAGGTGTATAATTATCTTCAAGTCTCTTTTTCCTTTTGAATATTCAAGAAAATGTCTCATCAATGCTCATTAGCAGCATAAAAAACCGTCCGCAAAACAAAATGAAAGATGATTACAAAATTTAGTGACATTAATTGACGTATCATGTCACTTGAAATCTATTTCACTCAGTTAACACTGCCATTTACAAAAGTGTCAATGACAATTGTCGATTGTACGATATTTTGTTTATAGCTAGAAGCAACAATGAGCTGAAAAATAATGACCTTCCAAAAGAAAAATGTTTAAAATAAAATAAAAACAACCGTTTCCATTCTGAAATAACAACAATCAAACTTATCAATGATACCATTTTTCAAATAGTTCATATAATAAGAACATTGATATGAATAAACATAAACTCATCCTTGGCATCAATTCCCTATAAACACATCGTACAAGAAAAACAAGATTTCGATACAAATCCGCTATAAAAATGTTGAAATGAAAAAAAATATTGGGAGAGTCTTTTGTAAAATAGTTCTCAATTATTCTATTGAAATACATGTGTGTGTGGTTTTTTTCATTATGCACTTTCAATATTTTCTAGAATCATATATAAATATAACTATTCATCACACTGACAGTATTGGTGTCAAAATGAAATCATTGGTCTCGCGTCCAAGCGACAGGATGACAGATAGCTTAAGAACATATATTCAAAAAGTTTACCTGGTTATTTTATAAAGAAGACATATCATATTTTAGATGAGAAAGCCTAGGATAGAGCTCGATAAACTTCATTTTCAAACAACTTCTGTGATATTAGATAAGTTCTCACTTAGAGTAAAATTTCATTATTTCACTGCAAACGCGAAGTACGGCAAATCAATATTAACAGAAGATGTACTAAGAGCCTAAAAGTGAACTGTTGGAAGGGATGTGGATGTTGGTGACATTATCGACGTGTGTATATCAATGAAGAGAAGATTATGCCACATTCAGACTCACATGGAATTTGTGATATATCTAACTAGTATAGCGATGCATTTCATTATGAAATAAGCCACGCCTCTGAGATTTCGTATTATAGCATAATAAAACATGGTCATATTTTTAATTCTACATTGCATTTTCGTTGTTATAATCAGCGCCCTGTTTATTATTTATGTGCTTAAAAAAATAGTACACAACACACTAGCTAAATCAACTCTACATTTCTTCAATATCACGTTATGAACAACAAACCGAAATTCCAATCACTTCGACGAGAAATGAGTGACTGAAAAGCAAACTAGGAGAACAGTAGATAGAATTTATCTTTTGATGAAGAGTTAGTGCCTTATCTTTCTGATTAATTTACACATCCTCACATCGCAACCTTATTGTTGCTGGTTTTCGATTTAGCGTGCTTTTTGTTTAATTAAAATGAGTCCGACTTCTTCACTACATCACTGTTTGCATTCTTGTTGTTTTTCAATTTTTTTAATCGACGAAAAAGCAAGATGAAACTTATATAAACCGAAGAAAAACGTATAATACCATATTAAAAGTTTTCACAATGTTGTATGCGATGTGAATCAAATTCCTTCGGAAATAAATATAATATGACAATTTATTTCAAAATCAAGTTCATTAGACAAAAGTACAAAGAATCTTAATGATCTTTTTAATAATTGAAACCATGATCATTGTTTTTACTTTTCTACTTCTCTTTCTTCCATTCTCTTTTATAATTTGGCATGGTGAGCAACGACACACTGCTCACCATACAGAATCTATAACACAGAAGAGAGTTGAAAATAAATAGCACATGTGAGCAACATCACAAAAACACAATACTTGAAGCAAAAGCGCTGATTGGAAAGAAGTCCGCGACAACCATTCAACGATTCATGTGTGATAGATTCGCTCATTGATCAAACCCAAACAAGCATCGAACGCTGAAGGTTGAGTTTGAGTGTAAGTAGACTATCAGCTTTAACAAGTTTTTGTCCATTGTGCTACCAAAGCTCAATAAAATTTACATGTTCAGAGAAAAACAACAACTTTCACTGGATTCGTTAATAGAGACAACATAAAATAGGACAAAAAATTCAGTCTTTGTTTCTCTATTGCATAGATTTCTACCCTAGTCGAACATCTTGTAACCAAGATCTTGACCAAGATACAAGGTAGAGAAATATGAACAGATCTTGAAAATTTAGGTACAAGATATTGTGATTATCTTGTACCAAGATCTGTAGTAAGATCTTAGGTAGAGATCTATCAGATCTTGACTGAAATACATGTGGTCAAAAAATGATTCATGCAATTCCCATACGGATGCCTCTAAAGTAGGGGTGACACGTTATCTGTACTTTATCAAGTGAAGTAAAGCAGAGTTGCTTTAGTTTACCGAGTAAAGTTAATCTACTTTACCCGAAAAGTAAAGTAAAGTGAAGTATCTTTAATTTTACTATACAAGTAAGATGAAGTAAAATAAGATAAAGTAAAGCATGTAGTTGATGATTTAGTCGACGACAAATGTCTTGTCCGTCTTGAGATAAATTCTTTATTTGATTTTTGACGTATGAGGATAGAATACAACACATATATATACAGAGGGGTTTGAGACATTTACGCAGTACGTAGCAGTTTTATAAGTGTTTGCTTCTTCTTTGAACACAGTAAAAATATGTGAATACATCCATTGTTGGATGACCTGTTGAAACATGAAATGGCTAGTGTGAAGTGAATTCGAGTTTATAACTTTTGACCGTTCAGAAGGAAGAGCTTTAGCTATGTTTCGTCAACAGGCAATACCAAGAACACTGAGCACGAAATTTTGAATTGTAATTCATTCACCAGAAATCCATCAGTTCAAAACTTCAGTCTCATGTCATACAATTCATCTCATTCCTGAACAAGTCATCAAAAAATGGATGTATTCACATATTTTTACTTGCTCATAGAAGAAGCAAACACTTATAAAACTGCCATGTGCTGCGTAAATGTCTCAAACTCCTCTGTACATATATGTGTTGCATTCAATTCTCATACGTCAAAAATAATATAAAAAATTCATTTCAAAACGGGCAAGACCTTTGTCGTCGACTAATTATTGATTTATTAGTTTATTATAACAGGTTAATCACATTTAAATACGTCAAAATTTCCGTCGAATTATAGACCGAAGGCCTCAAAAAATCTGAATCTAATTTTATTACTTCGAAAGGCAGCATTGAACCCTGAGTATTTTGTGGTGTGGGTGGGTTTAAATTGTAGGTCCAAGCGCACACCCGCACCCTACCCGCTTCCACACCCCACACCCATACCCACCCACCCACACCAACACCGACTGACATCCACTAGGGCCCTGCGGGAACGGGAATTCCCGTGAGACCTCAGGAACGGGAATTCTGGTGGACACTCCGGGGACGGAAATTGTATTAAAAATTTCTGTTCCCGGCAAACCTTATGTCCGATTTCTGTTTGCATTAAAATCTGTTAATCTTACAGTATTCGATTTCCAATAACTATTTGAAATATAATTGAAAAGAGAACAAATATCAGTCAACAAAATCAGACAAGTTCATTCAAACATAGATTATGAGAAATACGATATTCTTTGCCACCATCGTCGTCGTCGGCATCGAAGTTGGGATCATCAAGATTACATATATGTCAAACTTGAAACTTGAATTCAATTGAAATTTCAAGTTTCAATAGGTTTATGAGCCTTGAATCCGAAATTTACTTTTAATATACGGAATCTTGTATCGTGAGAAACATGATGTCGCTAAAAGCTAGTATCAAGTAGGAGTAGTGTTGATGAATGTGAATAATGAAATCATTGTAGCTATTCTCAAAGCATTACGGGAACGGGAACATGGAACGGGAACGAAAATTTTGTTACGGGAACGGGAGCCAAAAACGTTGTTCCCGCAGGTCTCTAACATCCACACCCTTTTTTTGGATACCTGAGGGGGACCCCAGGTGTGAAAAGTTGGGTTGTGACAAAACTAGAAAATAAAATTATGAGAAATACTCAGGGTTCAATACTGACTCTCAAAGTAATAAAATTAGATTCAGATTTTCGAGGCCTTTGGTCTATAATTCGACGAAACTTTTGACGCATTGGAATGTGATTAATATGTGATAATAAACTAATAAATCAATAATCATCAACTACATGCTTTACTTTATCTTATTTTACTTCA